GCTCACCTGTGATGATGGGTTAAATGCAGAGAATGAATTTCCCGAAGGAACTCCCAAGGGATTAATAAAGTTCGAAAATTAAAAAAATTAAAATAACACTTACCATTAATGTGACTTCTGATGCTGCATGGATTTGCTAATTGCTTTGTAGTCTGGTTGGTACTTGGTGAGTTTGAGCTTCATGCAAGCGTTGAGGCTTTCATCCGTTAAACGAGATCGCAGGTTCGTCTTGATGTTTTTAAGATGTGAGAATGACTGCTTACATGCACAGGTGGATCCAAACATGGTCAATACAGGTCAAACACAGTCACACAGCACGCTGCAGTGTGTGGTATGTGACAGGAAGTGAGTTCCAAGTTTTGATAATCAGCTGGTCTTCGGGTTGAAGTTTTTTCATTTCTGTCCACATGTGCTTGCTTGCCAAATCTGCTGTCTGTCGTGCCAGTCTTTCCAAATCTTCGTTCAGTGTCTTGAACTTATTCACCCACATGTCTGAGGCCTTGAGGTCACAACTTCTGTTTCAAAATCTCTGTTGGAGACACCAGGGATGTAACTCAGGTCGGCTGTGTTGAGTGAACACTCGTTTGGATGGGTGATGAACTTAAAAAGCTGAGTGTGCTCACGAAACTCTCCAAAGCGTGCTTTGAATGACTGCAGGAGCCTGGATGTGAAGCCAGCCAGCTGCTGGAGATCAAAGTGTTGAGCGGGCTCACTTGCTGTGCATGCATCTTTAAATTGTCTCAGTTTTTCAAAATGCAGCAAACGACCTGTTTCAATATCCATGATAAAGAGCTCCAGCCTGTTTTCAAAAGCAAACACTGCTTGTTGAAGGGATAACACTGTATTTCCAATGCCCTGCATTTTCACATTAAGCTGGTTCAGATGTTCAGTGATATCCACAAGATAGTAAAACTTAAGGAGCCACTCAGTTTCTGCTAGCTCAGGATGCTCGACGCCTTTCATTCCAAGGAAAGTCCGGATTTTACAGGCAAGCCGCAAAACGGCTAAGCACCTTCCCTCTCGACAACCAACGCACATTGCTGTGCAAAAGCAGACTGTGATAGTTATTCCCAACTTCATCCAGCAGTGTTTTAAACTGGCGATCATTTAAAGCTCGGGCAACAATAAAATTGACCACACGAATGACCAGTGACATCACTTCGCTAAGCTGCCCGTCACACATTTGAGCACAAAGTGCCTCCTGGTGTAGAATACAACGGAAATTTAGGATGGCTCTTTTTTCATGTTCACGGAGAAGCGCCACAAATCCTTTGTTTTTCCCCACCATACACGGAGCACCATCGGTACACACCGAAATAAGTTTATCCATGGGGAGATTTTTTTCTTGAGCGAACGCCATGAAAGACTTGAATAAATCCTCACCTCTTGTGGACCCTTTTATTGGCAAAACAGCAAGACTTTCTTCGCGCAGTGTGTCACCTGCAGCATATCTTGCAATCACACTGAACTGTGACATATGGCTTACGTCGGTCGACTCATCCAAAGCCAGAGAAAAAAACGGCGCTGCATTTATGTCCTTCACTTGTGTTTCCTCGACGTGGTTTGCCATCATGATGGTACGATCATGAACAGTTTTTGCCGACAGAGGCATGTCTTGTATCCGTTTGATAATCTTATCTTTGTTCGTAAAATCATCAAAAAGTTCCTTGGCTACATCCAGCATGAAAGTTTTTGCGTACTCGCCGTCTGTGAATGGTTTTCCGTTCCTCACTATTGCTAACGATCCAGCAAAGCTAGCGGAGTTATAGTCACCTTGGCGCGTCCAAACGCGGAGTTGCTGCTGGCTAGCTTGCACACTGCTCAGTAGCTCTTGGCACGCTTTCTTTCTGCTGTCTCCCGCGGGGTATTTTGATGCGAAGATAGCATGGTGTGTGTCGAAGTGCCGCTTTACATTCGACCGTTTCATCGATGCAATTTTGTCATTGCAAATTAGACACACCGCAGAACCCGCTCTCTCAACAAAGGCAAATTCTTCTGTCCATTCCTCTTGGAATGAACGATACTCTTCTGTTTTTCTTTTCGCCATAGTCTCCGTTGGAGGGTTAGTTTACCGACTTCGCGGACTGATTAAAAAGTGGGCTGTTTACCTAGCAATGACCGACATAGGCTATTATTGGCCGATTAAAACAATGGACAGTTGCTACAGCCAACTGCAGCCCTGAACAGGACAGGATCAGTGGAAAATCCATGGATGGATTAAAAAAAAATATATTTATTGATCAGAGAGAAAAATTTCGTGGGTGGGAAGCTCCTGGCACTAAAACCACCAAAACTTTCTGTCAATAAACCTGGGCTTCAGCCCTATCTTACGCTTTCGCGTTTTGATTATTGGGGACCTAGTTAACGTGACTAGAGCCGAAAAAGTACCACCCTCTATGAGGCGCTGGTATTGGGACGCTCCCCCTGCAGAAACAGGTACTGGAGGCCCCTGTTGGAAATGTTTTGCCAAGGCGCCTATTGCCCTTGGCTTCATGCGTCCCTGTGGACGCTATATCCCCCCCTAGGATTAGTGTGTGAAATTTCTGCCTTCCCTGGCAGTAGATCCCTCTCCTTCATGGGACCCCCGTTCCATCTTGCGATCGGTAGGGTACACCGCCCTTGTCCCGAGTTAGGAGAGAGCTAGTTGCTCTCCCGGCGTGTAACGGTCACCGGACTATCCCGGCCTTCCACTCCTTCTCAGCTCCTAACCGGTACCAAGAGTAGACAAATTTAGCTGCACCCATAAAGGTGCATTACCAGGCTCTACCACGTGGAGGTATTGTCTTTGGGGTTTGACAGAAGCAGTCCTTCCGTCAATTTCGCTTTAAGTTTCACTCTTGCAAGCGTACTATCCCCAGAGCCCGATGGATTAAAACGACAATAACAATATCAATATTTTATGATTGATTGGCGAGCCATATGCAGTCATCAAAAGAGCCATATATGGCTCGCGCGCCCCACCCTCCCCA